ATCATCTCTGAATCTCTTCCTGAAGTACTCCTCCTTCTGGGGGTCAGTGAACCCTCTGACCTCTGTTACCATGCCACCAGACAGAGGAGGGATCTGATTGGCTGCTGCAGGTCGTGTGGTTATCCAGAGGAGAGCAGAGGGAAGCAGTTTCCCCCTGATGAGGTTTGTCAGCAGAACATCCAGTGAAGTGGACTTTTCAGGGTCAGTTAACATTTTAGTCTTGTGGAAGTCCAGAGGAAGTCGACTCTCATCCAGACCATCAAAGATGAACAGAACCTTGAACATTTCAAAGTTGCTGATTCCTTTGGTTTTAGTGAAGCGTTCATGAATCAGTCCCACTAAGCTGAAATGTTCTTCTTTCAGCATATTCAGCTCTCTGAAAGTGAATGGAAATATGAAATCAATGTCTTGGTTGGTTCTGCCTTCAGCCCAGTCCAGAGTGAACTTCTGTGTTAACAGTGTTTTCCCAATGCCAGCCACTCCCATGGTCATCACTGTTCTGATTGGTTGATCTCTTCCAGGTGGGACTTTAAAGATGTCTTCTCTTCTGATTGTTTCTTGATTCCTGTTTGCTGTTTCAATCCGTCTGACCTCATGTTCCTGGTTGACCTCTGTAGTTAACCCCTCTGTGATGTGGAGCTCTGTGTAGATCTGGTTCAGTAGGATGTTATTTCCATGTTCATTAAGGCCTTCACAGAGACTTTGGAGCTTCTTCTTCAGAGACTCTTTCAGCTCCTGTTGACACTGAATATGAAAATCTGGAAAAAGAGACACAAGAGGAAACATTTCAGCTAAATATAGGGAGTACAATTTCTTTTGATGTTCTCAGAAGGGATGTGCAAGAAACTTTTATGAATAATAAAAATCAATACATTTATAAAAAAAATAGTTGTCTTATGTAAAAAAGAGAAAGTCATTCTAACTTCAGTCTGTGAGGATGGAGAAAATTTGATATTTCTGGACTGACTGATCGATGCTGTTTGGAGACACTGTGAGCGTTTTAGCTGGAAGTTGAACCAAACAGAGTCTTTGTGACCCTGATGTCATTAAACTCAACAAAGAATTTCTATGGTCTGTTTCACTGCAATAAACATTAACATGAGGTGAGTTCAACAACTCTGTGTATAGGTAGCGCTGTTCTGGTCTGTCTTCATACTGATTCAGACTCATGTTGCCTCTATAATGTTAAAGTTCAGGTAGTCTGAACGTTGCTGAACGTTAGTAAACATTTATTCTAGTTAATTCATTCATTTTTATCATTAAACCCATTTTGTCTCTAATCCAGGTAAATATATTATGATTCAGGGTCTCCTGAATACACTCAAGTCTCAAAGTAAGAATTTTTTAATTCCGAGTCCTATGACCCAAAATCTCCCACTGTGCATCACTCCTGATATATAGATACATGTTCTCCTGCTATGAGGAACATGCTAAACATGCTAAATGCCACCAGGTGGCACCTAAAATCAGAGACCAGTTTTGTAAGACGAAATCTGAACAGGAAATGTTTGATCAGCATGAAGCAGTTCATTCTGAGGGTGTGATAAAACCTTAATTTTTTTTAAGGTTTTATCTGTGAACTGACCTTTAAGGCAGTTCTAGTTCAGAAGGGTCAGAGTTGAATCAAAGACAGTAGAGGCTGTCAACGCAGCTTTAATGAACTTTGGGTCTCACCTTTAGCAGAGGAGTCAGAGGACAAACCCAGCTCATTGGACAGAGTCGGATCTATTTGATGAAGACGTTTGATCATCAATCTGCAGGCTTTCTTTCCTTTTTTCTCCACGGCATCTATGGTGTTGCGGGCCTTATCAGCCCTACTTTTGTACTTGTGCAGTATTTCTTCTTTCTCCAAATGTTTAAAGACGTCATCCGATACAAGACCATCGAAGAGCTGACAAAGGATTTCCTTAGAAACTCTCTCCACAAATTTTATACGAACATCTGAAAGTTTTTTCTCTGCAGGCAGAAATCAGAAACAGGATTCATTCAAACTGACGTCTGAGAGAAAAACATGATGAAGATCAACTATCCATGTTTCTCCATCCAGAGATTCAGAGTCTGGTGATCCTCAGGTCTAAACCTGTTGTTGTGTTTCTGCCTCATATCTGAGTGACGACCACTGATTCTGTCTACATGAGACCAAATGAAGCTTCTGGTTCATCACTTTCTTTCCTCACTGCAGGAAGAACAATAAAAGAAACACCTTCTAAATATAGAGCTGCACTATTTTAGAAAAACAGGAAACTTTGATGTTATTGGCGAATATTATGATGAAATTCATCACTTCTCTTTCTTTACCATCATCATCAGCTCTGCATCTCTGTCTCTAAGCTTTAGCATCTCTGACACCAAGTGTTGGAATAAAAGACACAGCAAATCTTTCCATCTAAGATAATAAATTAGTAATAAATGATGTGATTACTGGTTAAATGAATTAGTGTATACAGTAAATATTCCTGAAGTATCAGAGCTGCTGGCCTGTTCTTCACTTCGGTTCCTTTTAGTTTCCATCTGAGTTCAGTTTTTACCTTCAGGTTTCACAGAAACTCACAATGTTTCCACCAGAGCTTCACTGAACAGGAAGCGTGAAAACAATAAAGAAACACTGAGGCTGAGCTTCATCACATGGCAGCAACACAGGCTGTGATTGGTCAGTTTGTTCCTTTAAGATGTTCATTTCTGCTTCTGATCACTTACCGAAATCCACTTCCTGCTGGACTTCCTGCTGCTGCGCCATCTTTCATCTGGAAAAGGTGAACAATTCATTATGTTTCAGACTTTATTTTGGTCTTCCTAGAAGATCAAAAAAAAATAAAAAATACTGGATTAGAGATGGAAAATACTAATTTAAATCGCATGATAATCATCAACGCACCACCAAAAATAACCATTTCTTTAAATCTTTTATGAAAACTGACTTGATCCTTGCAGAAAATCTGAAATAAACACCAACTTACCAAATGTTTCTAGGTTCCCTTTAAGGATCGTCAGTCATTCTAGGATCAGATTTTCTTCAGGCTGAAACTTAAACATCTTTAAATCCTGTTTGTTGCCATGGAGACAGGATTGTGTTGCTGATGCCACTAGGTGGCAGTATCAGCTGATTAAAGCTCCTCCAGAAAAGCATCTGGCCTCCTGATCAGGTGTTTAATTTTCAGGTGACCAGCAGCTTCTGAATCTGTCCTCACCGTCTCTGCCGTCTTCCTCTGAGTGATGATGAAGCAGCAGCAGAGATGAAGACACAGAGGGATGAGAGGACAAATCTGGACTGACAGAGTTTCATCCTGCTGAAACAAACCAAGTCCTGACTGGTTTTACTGAAGCTGCTGTCTGGGACCAAACTGGAGAACTCAGTGGATTTTAAAAGGGGCCAAAAACTCTACAACCCTAAAGGTTGTAAACCCAATCAAAACGGCATAATGAAGATATTTGAAACTTAGTACACAAAAGCCTTCAAGACAGGAAATAAACTATTGGAGGTAGTTCCTAAAATCAACAGTGTTAAATATTTGAGTTTGTTCATGTAATATAAATTAACAGAGTTTCTTCAGAAACACTGAAGCTTTTCCTCTTTAGTTTGGTGGCAGGATTTGGGTCAAAGGTCATTTTTGACATTTCACACATACTGAATTTTGACAAAGTCCAATGAATTTAAATGTGTTGGCTTCATACAGTAGGTATGCCTATAAACCTGGTAGGATTAAAGTTATAAAAATGTTGAATTTTTTGGACCAGACCTCAAAGTTTGATGTCTCACCAATAAAAATATCTCAGAGTCAAACAGTCTGTCTTCAACACGATTGTCCAGGAGAAATTTGTTTGGTAACACTTTATTTGAAGGGGTGTGCAAAAGACTTACATGACACTGTCATAAACATGACTGTGAAAAAAGCTGCTCAAGTGCTGAGGCCCTTTAAGGGGGCGGAGCTTAGAGCACCTGTGGATCAGCACGCAGATGAAAAAAGGGAGAGAAGAAAAGGAAGGAGTCGAGTTACTACGGAGCCCCACAGGGGACATGGGGAATTTTTTTTCTTTTGCGTCCCCTCGCAATACTTTTGCGTTCCCTCGCAAAACTTTTGCGTTCCCTCGCAATACTTTTGCGTTCCCTCTCAAAACCTTTTGCGTTCCCTCGCAATAATCTACTGATCAGTTCATGCGGCATAACTGAATACTTTTTTACGGTGGCCGCCGTACTTTCTGCTTTAATACAAGCTTATAAGGTTTTTCCATGGACTATTGAGTTATTATCGCGGGGTAATAAGTCATCTGATTGTGTCTCTATTGTGTTCTAGTCTGAATGGTTTAAAGGGCTCCTTTCTGTGCCGTTCCATCTGAGCCTTAACAGACATAAACATGCAGTAAATAAATTGATTTTTCAATAGTTTTTTGCACCAAAGCATTAATAATAATAAACACGTTTTATATTATAAAACACAGCAAACTAATGGTGGTAGACGGCCACACTGGATATACTCGGGGAATCTCATCTGTCCGTGTATCAATCAACTCCTAACCTCTTCTTTGTTCTGTCACAATTATCGATTTTTTTTATTTTTATTATGCTCCAAACTTTGCGAGGACTGACCCCCCAGCTCACCCGCTGCCTCACACACCGAGCCAGCAGCGTCACCTTCCCATTCATACTTCATGACAGTCACGCCCACATCGACACCCCCACCACCAGGTGTCAAAGCCGCTGCTCCTGTCATAGCAATAATTACTTATTTCATTCATATTGCTCTTATAGAGCCTCAGTGAAAACGTGTTTATTATTATTAACGCTTTGGTGCAAAAAACTGATTGAAAAATCGATTTATTTACTGCATGTTTATGTCTGTTAAGGCTCAGATGGAACGGCACTGAAAGGAGCACTTTAAACCATTCAGACTAGAACACAATGGAGACACAATCAGATGACTTATTACCCCGCGATAATAACTCAATAGTCCGTGGAAAAACCTTATAAGCTGTATTAAAACAGAAAGTACGGCGGCCACCGTAAAAAAGGCTTATAGTATCAATTATGCCGCATGAACTGATCAGTAGATTATTGCGAGGGAACGCAAAAGAATTTTTTTCCCCCATGTCCCCTGGGGGGCTCCGTAAGTTACCGATCACATTTGTGTAGTTCGAGTTACTTTTTGCAGTTGTTACCTTTTATTTTCGATGTGTGTGCGTGGAATACAAGTAAGTGATGTTAGAAAGTGAAGAATATTTTTTATGTATCTGAATATTTAAGTTTTAGCGTTAATTGATCGCATGCTTCGTTCACGTGCGCACTTAAGCTATACAACGTGGTTTTGTGTTGTGTTTGTTTGTGTAACCTTTATTAGTGTAGTTAGTTAAGTAATTGTGTTATTATTTCAGTCATTTATTCATCAGACACTGATGTTGCATTATTATTTATATTTTGTAGAACCACACCATTAGGCGAAATAAAGACTGAACAACAAGTGCAGGTTGGACCAACCGACTCTGGTTTCTTTGGGGTTCTGACCGGACTCACCACAGTGATTTAACATTCCATCATCAAGCTGATCATCCTAAATTTTAATGACATAACATTTGTCATGAACATGAAGAAGTTTTTATGAATGTTTATGACAGTTTTCATGAAGTGTCATTTGGTAAATGAAAGTTTTAATGCAAAGTTGCTCTAAAAGTCCATTAAAAATGCCAACTTTGCATAATTTTGTAAATTATAATGTAATGCAAAGTTGGCATTTTTAATGGACTTTCAATGCAACTTTTAGAGCAACTTTGCATTAAAAGTGTCATTATTTACTGAATGACACTTCATGACAACTGTCATAAACATTCATAAAGACTTCTTCATGTTCATGACAGGAGTTATGTCATGTTTATGACAGTGTCATGTCAGTCTTTTGCAAACCCCTTCAGTTAAAG